GCTAGAGGCCCAAATATAGCCCGACCATAAATATTGTCTAACGGCTGGACGTAGTTTCTGGGACCTCTCCACGGTGATCCTCATCCACATGATGGCACTTTGTGTCAACAGGTGTTTATCGCTTGTGTGATGTCATAGTGGAGTATAAATCTACTACTACTACCGCTTGAAAGTAATATGAATCTCTCGTGGGATGCACATTTTGTTTGTTTGAAGCACCCCCCCCCCCAGGCTTTTGCCGGGGGCCATGAATATTGCCGGGCCATAAATATGGCCCAAACTGCTGAAAGCGCTTTTCTGGGACTTCTCCACGGGTAGTCCTCTGCCGCATGGTGGCTCTTTGAGTCATCGGGTGTTTATCGCTTGTGTGATGTCTTTTTGGGGTAAAACTACCTACCTACCTGCTTGAAAGTTTGACAAACCCGTCCCAGTATGGGACGCACGTTTTCATTATTTAAAAGTACCGTCCCTGCTTTTGTCGGGTGTCATAATATAACCTAACGGTTGTACAGGGTTTCTGGGACTTGTACCCGGATAATCCTTTTCCGCATGATGGCAATTTTATTTACCGGGTGTGGTCACTCGTCGTGTGGTTGAATCACATACTTGCTCGATAGTTACATTTTCTCAATTTCCGCCCATTATGGTACGCAATTTCGGACGTGATGAGCCACAACACAAATCAATAGCAGACCACGAAAAAAAGACTCACTTCCGGCATGAAGCGGTCACCACCTTCCTGGATATTTTCTTCGATGTAGACGGAAGTCTTCCGTGTTGTTTATTATTATTATTCTTTGCTTTATAACAGAAAGTGGCATACACTTATAGTATGTTTATAGTTCAGTGAGACAGTTCGTCTCAGGTATTCACCAATAGACCATGGCCACATATTATTGTCGTAGAAACACACCACATTGACCTTCGTGACCAGACGCAGAAGTTGAGACCAGACTTAAGTGCAGCTGCCAGTAAGAATAATAATTAATAATTGAAACAGATGTGAGTTCTTAATTGATTACGGCAAGCACTCCACAGTCATCTCTACAATGTCGAGCTGAGTTGAGGTCTGAAACCCTCAGCGACCACCTACCTACTCACGTTTTGAAGCGAGTGAAAGACGGCCTGCCTAATTTCCCCAGTGGACAACACAGTAAGTAGGCCTGCCTGTGCAAACGATGAATATAAGTGTTCATATCAAGATTTTCACCTTTTTTGGTTTCAGGGACCTATTTTGGGCCACACAAAAAATAGACCCCCTGCCTCCCTAACAAGCTAGTCTTAAAAGGTGATTAATTTGAGATTCTTTCTCAGAAGACGGAGCCTATACTGAACAACGAAGAACCAACAGGCTGCATACAAGTAAGCCAGATCTGTAAAATAGAGGTGCAGTCAAAATTCAAGTTCTGAAATAAGTCTGAAGTCTAGAAGGGGACAAATATCCTAAATTTTCCGCTGTCGTATGAGCTAGTGACCGCTAGGAAGAAGAAAAAAGATAAAGATATGATAATATTTGGCTCTTCTTTCAATACAGACCGGTAGCTGGAAAGCCGCCGATCGGCTTAGTGGGAGTTCTCTCCCTTGGCTGCATTGCAAACACGGAGCGGAAAAGTCACGAATCAAAGGACATACTTACCTATCATCATACGGTTGCGTGTACGGTTGCATAGTCATCATACGGATTGCGTACTGTGTAGGGTTTGGGTTAGGGTTAGGGATAGGGTAAGCGGCGTTAGGGGTTGGGTTAGGGTTGGGGTGTGGGATAGGGTTAGGGTTAGTTAGGATTAGGGTTAGGGGTAGGGTTAGATGTGACAATTTTGACGTAGGAGTTCCATATGCTGGCCAACAATCTTATGCTTGTGGGAGTGGCGCCACTAGAAATCTCCCAAATATGATGGCAATAGCGCGCGGCTGGTGCCCAATCGGTGGCGAATTGTCCGTTTGAGTAGCGCAAACCCTAACCCTAAACCTAATCTAACCCTACCCCTAACCCAAACCCTAACCGTATGATGACAGTAGGGCACTGCACGCTGTCTATCGCTAACACACAGTAATTATGTCACTTGTTTCGTTCCCTCTAGTCCACTTTGTAATGCGTCGCAAGAAGCGGTAATTGAACGCGGTCGCTAATGGGAGTCGCAGCGTGGGCTCTGCCAGGCATGTCAACGTCACTGTGCTTTTTGATTCGTGCCTTTTCCAGTCCGTAATAGCACTGCAGCCAGGTGACATAACTCCGACTAACCGGCCGTCTCCTGTTGTCTACCGGCCGTATTGAAAGGAGAGCCAATTTATTTAATTGATCTTCTTTCACCCTGGAGTGTAGAGGTTTGCCAGACTTCTCCGTCTGCAGTTTTATTTTTGGCATTGTTCCTTTCCGTTCCTCTGTCAGTCAGGAAATGTCGAATGTTGTCTTCCCAGCAAACTCTTAGTCACCCTAGTGGTCTGGTTCTTGGCCTGCCATGGTGGCAGATTTTCTCCCATTCTGCATACATATCCAAATCATCACAACTGTCACTGATCCACTCAAGTTTGTATGGCCTTGGTTTCAAGATCCTGACATATTATTTCATGCGACAAGTCAGTACAATTCTGTATTTATCCCTTTCGAGACAACATAGCCAACAGTATCGGCCCGACACAAAGTAGCAGGTTTTTGTACCAGCCAATCAGATTGCTTCTCACATTTCTTGCACATGTGGGCTGTTCATTGACCGCTTTCAAGAAAGTTTGATGTGTTTGGTAATTTTACGTCAACAATGGCGAAAAGGACTGTTGTGTCATAGCAACCAAAACATAGCAGGAAAATAAGTAAAATCATGTGCCAGAAGTGTCTGAAGGGCCTCCAAGGGCCTTACTTCCCAAAACACAAGTGTTAGGATTTTTTCAAGCTTCATTCATACAAAAAATTCACCTAATATTTTTAGGTTAGTCATGTTTGTTCCCAAGTTTAAAAAAAAAATGCTTGCATAAATTATGCAAATAAGAATAGTTAATTTGAATAAATTTTGAGATTTTAGTTTGATTCATAAATATTCTGTTAGCTCATTCAATTTTGTACACGAATATTTATAATTTTGAATATGTTAATTAAACGCTTAATTTTTTAATAATTGTTTTTGGGGTATAAACTATGAGGATCCCCTTTTGAAGGCTTCGTCTTTTAGGCAATTAAACTCCAGAAAGGCTCTGTCTCCAGAGGGTTAAAATGTTAGTTGCCTTATCCTTTACAGGATATTGCAGACCCAGCCACAGCAATTTTGGACTGTTTGTGGTTTTTCTACACAATTTTTGCTTTCAGTATTTTGCCACTGCCCCTAATGGTCAGTGCTCCATACCACTGTCAAAAAAAAGAATAGAATAGTGACTCCTTCAGTTGCTGGGTGTAAAACTTGCAGGCTGCATTTCCAGAAGAGGAATGTAGATTTAAAAAACAAACATTTCTTACAATTTCAGATTTGTCTTAAATTAATCAAATCAGACCTGCCTGATGAAATAGATCTTGACAAAGTCTGCATCATATAGAATCATTAAATACTATTCATACCATTAGGGAAATTGTCTTACCATCGCCCACCCTGTCTGGACTTAAGGTTACTTTGTAAACTGCCAACGGCAAAGAGGGGGAAAAGGGGGTGGGGGGTGCGGTGGTCCCATTATAAACTGCATGGATAAATGGGATGTCTGGAATTTGTACCAGGGGAATTCTCATCCAGATACTGACACATTGCCTTTTGCGTCACAGGGTGGTAATCCCTCAGTGTGTGGTCCTAGTGGAATTCAGCTTCACTCACTCATTGTAATGTGCGGTAAATTGGGTAACTACTAACATACTGTCATTGTCTTATCACAAATAAAGAAATCAGCATTATAATAAGGGTTTTGTAAGCAAGCCTACCACTATCATATCATCAGTATACGAACCACCTTTAAATCCCAGGATATGTCTGATACCAGTGTTAGGTTGAGTTGACCTGGGTTGATGTAGATTTAAACCCCCCAACCTGGCAGGCAAACATCTAACCAATTTGCCACCACAATTTTAATCTATAAGTTATTTCTTTACTATACCAGACATTTACTTCTACAACTTATTTTGATCCAAACGCCAAAAAATCTAAAATCCAGGGTACAAACAGTTAATATTGGTAAGAAGTAAATTTTGTTTTGAAAGCCTTGTTTCCTGGACTTTTCTAAGCCAGTAATATATATATATATATATATATTTTTTTTGCATGTCCTATTTCCTGTATAGGTTGTAGAGCCCATGGGTGGTAATATTTTTATCATTAACTAAACAGTGCTAGTAAGTTGTTACTATGAGACTTTTTAATACCAGACTGTATACTTTATAACAGGCTTTTTAAAATTTAGAACACAAGGTGCCGGTACTCACGATAAAGTGTCTAAAAAAGTGGCTATTATAGTAGCGCTGAAAAACATGCCTAAAAATTACAAATTTTAAAAATCTTTTTGAGCTTACTAATAGAATCAAGTGATAGATTAAGTCAGAGTAACAGACGCAACAGAATAAGTTTCCATAACAAAAGAATAAGAAAGAAGATATTCAGAAACCTATACCATGTATAGAGTATTCAAAAACCATATGACAAGTTGATTGGTCCCAAAAGAGTTAAAAGGTACAAATTTACTGTCTGCAGTAACATTTGAAATTATAAATCCTGTTTTTAAGTATTTTTTTGGCAGCAGACCACATTGATTTTGACAGTCTTATTGGGCGTCAACTGTTGAAAAGCAATCACAAACAATGAGTGTAAAATTGCTTAGTAAAACCAAACAGGCAACCAATTCTTGGGTTGGTTTCTGCAGTGTCCAGTAAAGAATAGGTAAATAACTTTTTCAAGTATTAAAATTGTTGGCTCACTAAAAGCTTCCTGTTATGACTAATTATTTGCTTTATTATACTACATGAAATAAATCTTGTTTTTATTCACAGCAAATTAATTATCTATTTAATTTTGTGCTTACTTCTTTTCAGCAAAATGGATTTTATCATCTTCTTCCTCGGATATGTTGGGTTGTTTTCAGTGGTAGCTGTGGTTGTCTTATTTTCAAACTCATTCCCTTTTCTGTCAAGCCTAACAGAAAGGGCCAAAGATACATATTTTTAAAAGTAAGTAAGACACTGAACATCATGATTACATTGGATTTGTAAAAAAAAGGTTCAAGTAAAGCATTAGTCTATAAAATTATGAGTACAGCATCATATGCCCATTACATTATATGATGGGATCCCTGTGTGGGTTCTGGAGTCTCATTATGGGGAAAACAAGAATAGACCCACTGCCTACTCAAAAAAGTATATCGTAAGAGTCAACTAATTGGGAGCTTCCTTCGAAGTCGGAGTGCATCTGCCTGAGCTGCAAAGAACCACCAGCCGCACACAAACAAGCCAGTAAAATGGATCTAGACCCAAAACTCAGGCCCTGGCACAAAGCTGAAGTCCAAATGGATGAACAACCAGAACTTTCCGCCGGAGCTCACAGCCTGTGAACAAAGAAAAGATGAAGGTATGTTGGGAAATTTAAGAGCATCATTTTGCCAGTTCTTCTTTATGGAGCAGAATGCTGGAGAATGACCAAAAAGGATGTACACAAGCTGTCCACCTTCCACCACACATGTCTACGTAGAATTATCAAAATTTTCTGGCCAGATACAATCTCAATCACTAAACTACTTCAAGTCATAAACCAAGAAACTCTAGACAGTATGATAACCAAAAGAAGATTGAAAAGGCTTGGCCACGTTATGAGAATAAATCCTGATATACCTGCCAAAACAGCTCTCACATGGATACCAGAGGGAAAGAGAAAAAAGGAGCGCCCACAAACAACATGGAGACGAATGATGGAAAGTGACCAGTGTGTGGCATCTCTGACATGGAAAACTGCATTGAACAGGACAGGAGAGCATGGAAAGTCCTCTCTGAAGCCTCATGTGCCACTAGGCATAACGAGAACTGATGATGATGATGTTGGGAAATTGAAAGGGTCCTTTGCTATGTTTTTATTGTAAACATTTGCTTACAGCTGTAATATTGAGTACATACTTTTTAAAAATAATTTCAGATTTTGTACACTGTAGTTCCAGCTTTTGTCATTAGATGGGTTACTGACATATTCAACTATGTTTTCAACACAAGGTTAGTAGACTTTTCCAGTATTTTTGTGAACACCTTTGCAGTTAGTGATTTCACCAAAGATAAATGTTATACTGTTGCTGAAATCCAGGGAATTCTTAAGTAACGTATTTAGTAATATTCCCAAATAAAACATAAAATGGATTTATTGCATCATAGTTTCTTTTTCTGATTTTTTTTGTTTGTTTAATTTGTTTGCTTGGCATTTAATTATTTTGTGTCTTTTGGCAATATGGCCGCAATGTTTGTGCCTTTTAGCCAACACATTTTTTTCCTGACATTTGTAGATTGTATTACCCTTCCTACAAGTCTTCTTCTTCTTCTTCTTCTTCTTCTTCTTCTTCTTCTTCTTTTTCTTCTTCTTCTTTTTCTTCTTCTTCTTCAACATTCTGAGCCCTTGAGGTTCATTGCTGCAGATATCACCCACCTCTGTTCGTCTCTTTCTGGTTGGCCTTCTCTTTCCAATTGGTGACACAAAGCATTTGTAGGTCTGTCTGGATATTATCTCTTCATCATATTCTTGGTCTGCCTCATGATCTATGACCATTCAGCTCCCTTATATATACAGTTTTGGGGGAGTTTGTGTTTCTCATTGACCTTGAGAGCTGTGCCGGCAGTAGCATAGCTGCCAGCAGGGCCTCCCAAGCCGGAAAGGTCAAAGGGTAGAGAAAGACAAAGAAAGAGACCATGATCCTCCAGGTTGGGGGCTGAAGCGTAGTGCCGACACCCCTACCTTTGTGAAACTTCAAACAGATATCTAAGCCTAGATTTCAGATTGATTTAAATAGATAACAAAACTGGAATGTTAAAGGACTTTTGAGATTTGGAACAGAATGTACAAACCCTGTATAGAACTAGAGCACTGACCTGTGAGTTGTTGGATTTCAGAATGGATGCTGCTGATTCAAGAAATAAGGTGACCAGGACAAGGTACCATAGAGGAAAAGAGAATGATCATAATATATGGAGAAAACACTCAAAACAAACTTGAAGAGACAAGATTTGTCATCAAGAGAAAGTTGTGGGAAAGTATTATAAATTTTGAAACTGTTAATGATTAAAAAGAGTAAATTACGGATGAAAGGTAAATAGAAAAAAAAAATAACGATGATTAATGTGCATGCACCCACTGAAGATAAAGAAGAAAACATTAAAGAAGATTTTTATGATTTTTCTCCTTGAGAATATCATAGAGGAAACTCAGAAATGGTAAATATTGATTGTTGTAGGAGATTTCACTGCAAAAATATGTAGAGAACACACTTATAAAAATATATTAGGCATGGAAAGTCTATATACAAGTTGAAACAATAATGGATGGAGATTAATCAACCTTGCAGTAGCCAATGGACTACAGATAGGCAGCACCAGATTTCCTATAAGTCATAGTTTTACTTTATATTATTGTTTTCTTGCCCTAGAAAAGATAAGACATATTGTTGGCACGATGTCAAAGTGATCTAATGGTAACAACAGACAAGATTAATGGAAAAAAAGCAAGGGGAAGACAAAGAAATAAGTACCTGGATGGCTTAGCCATATGGGTGGGATGAGACATTTTGCTTCTGAAATTGTAAACACTTTTCTGGTGTGTGTTTTTTTTCAGCATTAGATGGTTGATCTTGTACTATTAGTTTCCTACTTTCATTATTTTTTTTGGCTCATAATGTTCTTCTTTAACAAGGCTGGAAAATTTCATGACATGTGGCATAATTGACATTAGTTTTTCTTCAGTAACACTTATTAAATCCAGCGCCTTAGTTAACTGTAGCTTTGTGAAGCTGTCAGCACTGACTGAGCTAACATTGATATTTTTATGCTCGCTCACATTGGAAGCTTAAACTCAAAACAGCAATTTTTAAAGCAGGAACAGTTATGAACATGTTGTGAACCATCTGTAAATTGTCTGGACAGACATGCCTACACTGGCCTTTGAAACTGAAACAAATGCAAGTTTGACCCAATCACGTCAGATGTTTACATATGCATCAGCTATTGCATCACATTAATTTTTAGTACACCCAATCACTTTTATTTTTTACAAGCTTCAACACTGTGCCAGAATTTTAAATACAGATGTAAAAATTTCCAAATCATACTAAAACGTCAGGGATGGTACAAAAAGTACAGTTTTTGCTCGGCAAGGGTCAAACAGTACCAACTTTGGCAGTCCTGGGTTTGGATTAAGGGTCCTTTATGGCTATCAGGTCATCCCAACCTAAAATAGGTATCAGGAAGCATCCTCAGAAAAACTGGCCTGCATTATGTTGACCACCCAGTGATTGTCGATTGATCTATAAAAACATAGATCTGGCACCACATGCCTGATGTACCATTGGCTTGAAGAAAAGTCCTTTACTTCTTTTTTTAAATCCTACTGCTTGTGCTGTAAAGTGTCACAGAGAGGAATTAAATGTAGATTACTGTCTTCTGCTAGTTGTATAGTAGCTTGTGTTAATATTGTTTCCTGCACATATCTCTTTCTTGGTTGGCCTCTTGCTCTGTAGCCTCCTGTTTTCTGTCTGTCTGTCTGTCTGTCTGTCTGTCTGTCTGTCTGTCTGTCTGTCTGTCTCTCTCTCTCTCTCTCTCTCTCTCTCTCTCTCTCTCTCTCTCTCTCTCTCTCTCTCTCTCTCTGTTGCGCTGCTGGCTGACTTTCTTCTATTCTGACCAAATGACCAAACCATTTCTGTGGTGTTCTGTGAAATCATTTACCAGTACTGTGCCTACCATTGTTCTTACTTACTTAATTACTTACATTATAGGCATGCACTTGCTGTTTTCACAGAAACCATGTAATGCAGCTGGTCTTTGGTGCACTGGTAATGGGAGGCAACATCATCTTTATGCTAGACATCCTTCCACTGCTGTATATCTTTGAGCCAGAGAAGAATCACTTACTGCTTCCAATGGTGTTGCTTTTTTCCAACGCTGCCGCATTCCACGTTAGCTGTGCGTCAGACCCTGGGCGGGTAACTCCAGCAAATGTTGCCATGCTTGCCTCCCTTTACAAGGCAGATGGTGTCATATACAAAGCTGATGTGGAATGTCGGACGTGCAAGGTGATCAAACCACCTCGTTCAAAACACTGCCGTGAGTATTAAAACTAGTATTTCATAAGATATGTTTAAATCGCCACTAATGACTGGCATCATGAGGAGGAATAGACTGCAATGATTGGGGCACATAGAGAGGATGGCAGATAACAGAGAGACAAAAACTGCGTACACAGAAAAGTTAAACGAGAGTAGACCACAAGTAGATGGTGGAGAGATAATCTACAATCAGGCGTACAAACACCTGGAGTCACCAAATGGAAAGAGAAAGCCATTCACAAAGATGAACTGCGGCGAGTGATATCTTTCGCATTGACCCTCAAGGATATACAATCAGACTGTTACTGGTACCATCAGAATTAGAACTCTGTGTTTGCTGCTGAAGAGAGGGACAGAGCACTTACAGGAATTTTTCCAATGCTGTGATTTTGACTGCTAATTAAACATCAAGGATTCTGAATGCTAAAGAAAAGAAAAGAATATGTCATAGGATAGCTTGAAAATCATGATGTATATGGCACATACATTTTAAAGCCTGTATAATTAAAACAAGTTTTTAGAGATAATCCCAGGGCTGTTTCTGGTGGTACGCAATAGTACACAGTACTTGCATGTTTTTTATGCATCATTTGTTTTCATTGCTATTCTAATAGACACTTTGTAGTATCGGCACCTTTTTTTTTTTAAAGACACGTTGTGGTGATACTGTCATCTATTTCCTAGGAAGAAACCTTGGATGATCCTATATCAGATATTGCTGCAGGTGTGTAATTTAGTAGATCCCATATAAAATAATAAAATTACATCATCATGAGATTGGGTCTTCTTCTTCTTCTTCTTCGATCCTTCTGTCAGAAAACTTATATCAGGAGGCCGGTAGCCTTTATGAAAGCTATCGTGCAATCCATATCCTCTTGTGTACCATACAGTTTTGTCTTCAGTGTGGTTGGAACAGGCCAGATTGCGTCTCTGTTGTCAGCATACAGTTGACAGTGTTGGAGCACATGCTCAGCATTTTCGGGTGCCACGCTGCAGGGACACGTCTAAGTATTTCCTACACCAAAAAATTTGAACATATGTTGACGAAATCTGTTGTGCCCTGTCCTTAGTCTGAATATAATACACTGTCCCTCTCTAGAGAGGCGATGAAGTGAGTCTTGGGGAGAAAATCTGGTGTGGGTATCCAGCCACCTTTCTTGGATACTAGCTTGTATTAGTGTTTTCATCTCTTGGTGGGTTAAGTCGCTATTTGGTTGTACCATGTCACTGCCGCTTCTGGCCAATCTGTCCGCTATTTCATTGCCTTCCAAGCCACAGTGACCTGGAATCCACTGCAGTACAGATTGTTCTACTGAAGAGCCTAAGCAAATCAGCTGTTGCGTCAAGTCTAGTTGTTTTCCTTCTTTCAGAAATCTCCTGTGTCCATTTTGCAAATATTTTTAATGCCATATTTAAAAATACATTTTAAAAAAAAGCTTCTGGACAATGGATATCAAGAGCAAGATGTGTTACCTGTGGGTAAACAACATTGCAGTATGGATCGAAAGAAGCCTGAGCATCTTGGAGATGCAGGACCTAAGGTGGTGGCGATTTAATTCTACATGCAGATCAGCCCTGAAACCACAGAATTATGTTTGTAGACTTATACAGTTTATGATTGAGCACTTATATGCATCTTGATAATCTTTTTAGCAAATTCTGGCCACATTTATTTTACTTCATAGCTAAATTTCATACATTAATTTTTTGTGATAGAATAATTCAGATACAACATTTTTGATAACAGAAATAAATTAATTTTAGTGAATGTTAAGATAGATATTCAATTGTGTCTGAGATTTCTGTGCAGTATGATAGACACCATGGCCCTTACAATTGCAGGAATCTGTAATTGCTGTGTGCATAGATTTGACCATCATTGTATATGGACCAACAATTGTGTGGGCGGAGGTAATCTCCGCTTCTTCCTGGTATTCCTGCTGACTCTGGTGGTCATGATAGTCAATGGAGCAGTCACAAGTACTCGGGCCATGGTCTTGATGGTAACCCATTTCAAGATGCTGGAGACGGGCTACGTAGACCCCCAGACAGGTCAGGTGTTGCCAATGACCATGCCTGTTCTCATTCAGGTATGTTTTTACATTACTTGTTTCCCTAAATTCTTTATCAAGTAATCTTTATTTAAGTACCATCTCTGCACTGTTCATCTATCTCCTCACATTATCCTCTCACTTGAATCACTGTCTGCCTCTTGCTTGGTGGCCTTCAACTGTTCCCAGAAGTACGGTTGTTATGAAGGTTACTTACTTAGTGGCTCCTCTTCTAATGTTGGGTGTACAGATTTGCCAGAGAGATTTGCCACATCTTGTTTACCTAAATTCTTAAACCAGGGGCTGTTGAGGTTGGTTCTGCAACGTCCTGTAAAGGATACGCAACTAACCTTTAATAAATTGTTTCAATTCAGTTTATTTACATCTTTGTTTTCTCTGGTCATATTCCCAATAAACTGAAATTATTACTTTGATATCTTTACTTCTTTATTCTTGCTATTAAATTTCATTTTATGGCATCCTACCACTAATTTTTTCTTTTGCAGGACAGGCACCAGCCAGGTAATATTCTGTCCTGCCCTGCCACATGACAGGTCTAGCAAGCCAGAAGTGGTGTAATTGATTGCTACTACATAAGAAATATTTAATGTTTATAGAACAGATTCTTTCGAACATCAGACCAGCAATGTTAAAGGATACAAGTCATTAGCAGGGATTAACTCTTTAGGAATGGTGCATCCTGTGTGACTGAATAGTATTCATATGCTTTGGCAAAAATGTTATGTATATTTGTACATCTTACATTTAGTCAGTATAAATGAGAGAATTCAACCGCCCCCCAATTTATTTCAGAGCAAGCATGTTATAAAAGATGATTGCTAAAACTGCATGTATTGGCTGAAAGGCTCAGATATCACAGTCTAGCTGTAAACCACAACACAATGTGCCAACATCTTTTTTAAAGGTTATTATTTTAATGATTGAAGAAACTTCTATTAAAAACACCCCTATTTTCTCCTTCTCTGAACTAGGCATTACTATTCCTGTTTTGGAGAATGCCATCATTTTACGGCTGATAAATCAGCATAAATCCTTACAGAATATGTATTGAATATGTGTTGACAGTGTTTTGTAATATTTTTTTTTTTCAGTTCTTGTTCATGCAGCACCCACGCTGCGTATTTCTGATCACATCTCTGGCAATGCTCACCTTGCTCTTGGGCCTGTTCACACTTTACCACATATACCTGGTGATCACCAACCAGACCACCAACGAACGCTACAAAATGGCCAGCCTGCCCATCAACAACAACAGCAGTATTACTCAGCCTAAAATAAATGACCACAACGAAAAGTCAGCACAGAAGGAGAGTTCCCTGAGCGCGTTCAGCAGACAAGTTCAGCATCACAGAGACAATAGTAAAACTAAACATAGCTACCTCAGAATTAAGAACAACAGCAGGAAATCCTCAGTCAAAGAGGAGGCAAGCAACAGTGAAAGTGCCGCAGAGAGTAAACCTGGAGCTTATCCCGATGTCTGTAGAAACCATTCAGTAGATCAGTTGTATGTTACCTCCAGTGCAAGTACTGATTTAAGTTCTTTTTACAATAGGGGTTTGTTCCAGAATGTTAAAGAAGTCTTTATTCCATGGTCAGGAGTGGGAAGTATAAAACAGTTAAATGGTCGGCGGTGAATTTGCTCATCTAAAACACAGATGCAGCGAAGCATTTTATTTCATAGCAAAGCACATTTTTTATTTTTTAGTGATCTATTTAATTACTGACATATTACTCACATTTTGTTTTATTATGTAAACTACACACATCAGTAAGGAATGACACTTCCTTTCAACCTTTAGTTAACTTCTAATCAGATCTTCCAGTATTATAGACATTAGGTTTGAATGTTTTTACCACTTTTTAGTAACATTTGGTTCCCGGACTTTGTGTGTTTTATACAAATAAGTAACAATGCAATTATTAAACTACAGTTTTTTTTTTAATAGGTAATTTAAAAAATACAAATTTGTGTCCAAATTTATACAGTTGTTTGAAAAATTCCATGAACTCATTCTTGAACACCTCTTTCAGCTGCTTTGTTGCATTGGCAGTTACATCCTCAATATTCTTGAATTGCAGCTCTTTCAGTACCAATTTTAGGTGAGGGTGAGGAAACTATACCGGTGCCAGGTCGGGATTATACATTGGCAACTTCTAACAGATATTCCAACTTCTCTGCCTATTTTCTTGATACTATATCTTCTGTCAGCATGAAAAATGTTCCCAACACTGTCAGTGTTTTCATTGTCTATCGTGATAGGTGGTCACGTTATTCATTATCGACACTAGCTAGTACGGCCTTGGCGGAAACACTTGTGCCACTAAAAAAACTTGTAATTTCTTCATTGTGGTATCACACTTTAGTCAAGCAAATTTACCGTCTCTGGGGTGACTTCTCAAACAAAACACAACTTTGACGTTTGTGTGGTGTACAACTAAGAACATTTTTAACTCTGACAATGCTGCATGCACAAGACAGTATCAGACTTCTGTTTGTAAATTAATTTGAACATCAGGTCTGCCTAATCGTCTCATCAAGGTCACAATCAGCTTACAGAAACTATAGTCTTCACGTCATAATTACTAATTCAAATATGAGTCGACTACTCCAGGAACTTTTTAAAGCAACCACTTATACCTGGAGAGCGCTTAGAAGCATAACATATTCCTGGACGGCTTAGAAGCAACCACGTATTTTTGGAACGCTTGGAAGCAACCATGTATACCTGGATGGCTTAGAAGCAACCACGTATACTTGGACAACTTAAAAGCAACCACGTATACCTGGACAGCTTTGAAGCATCACATACACCTGGAGGGCTTAGAAGCAACCACGTATATCTGGAACTTTTAGAAGCAACCACGCATACCTGGACAGCTTAAAAGCAACCACGTAGACCTGGACAGCTTAAAAGCAACACCGTATACCTAGAACGCTTGGAAGCAACTACGTATACTTGGACAGCTTAGAAGCTTCTAGTAATATGAGATGGCAAACCATGACATCTTACGCTGATTAGCATGGCACATGATGATGACCAGTGATATTTTGTTTGTCATTTTATTATGTCGGTGATAAATAATTTTAAGGAGCAGAAACAAATGTTCATATTCAAGTGAATGATAGCTGATTACTGGATATTGTTGTTTTATGTGATTTGTTGTAGATATTTTACATGATTATCTCATTCTGGATTACTGTGTAGAGTAAATGTAATTAGTACAACAAAGTTCTTGTCAAGCACACAGTGTGATCTGCTGGAAGTACTCAGTGTGATTGTAGATTGATATCAGCTGTTTTCTACCAGTACCTGTTTTTAATGATCATCATATCATCATATCATTGCTGTCTGTACTGTCTTCTAACAGTTGTCTCATTGTATTCCTGTGTCACATGACCTTAATCTAGTTTTGTCAAGCTGAAGTGTAGACCACAACTATTTCTTCTGTGACCGTTACTGTTGGTGTGAATTAGAATATAAATACAAAAAGATGCAGACCTATTTTAGAGTGGAATTGAAAAAAAGGGGGGGGGGGGGGGGGGGGGGGACCAGTGTTTTAACAGAAGTTTCTTTAATAATTAAAAGAATAGCACGAGGGTGACTTTTCTTCTTCTTGTACTTCATATTTCTTTCCCTTTTCTTCTCATCGTTCTCCTCCTCCTTCTTCCTCTTCTTCTTCTTCTTCTGCTCCTCCCTCTCCTCTGTCTTCTTCTTTTGCATTCATTCTTCAAATGGGGCATACCAGATTGTGACCGGTACCATCAGTATAGGAACTCTGCACTGGTTGCAGAAGATGAGGACGGAGCACACATGGAAATGCCCCGAGTGCTGTGATGTCCATTTTTGACTAACTAACTAACTAACTAACTAACTAACTAACTAACTAACTAACTAACTAACTAACTAACTAACTAACTAACTAACTAACTAACTAACTAACTTGTGTGGTTATTTATTATCTATTCAAACATCTTAACAGATTCTGGGATAGTAACAATTACAACAATTTTTTTTTTGGAAGGTAAAATGGCTGCATCTTTCACAAAACTAACAATTATTTATATAGATCTTTGCCCCCGCACACCTTTCTATAACTACCTCACCATGCCAAGTTTTGTTTTCTATAAATGTATTTTGCATGATACAGTAACACTTCCATCTGTTGCAAACATCTAATTGAAGGAAAGGCTACTATTAGCAACTTAATCATAGATACTTTGTCTCAGTGATTATTGTCCTAATTACTTCATTTATATATATATCATTATTTCTCTAGTACTTCCAGCTGAATTATGGTCCTTGCTGTATGCTGCACACACACACACGTGCACACACGCACACACACACACAAATACAAACCCTAAGTTAGGCTTGAGCAAACACAGTAGGAGCCCAAATAATGAAACAGATGACATTCCCATGTATTTTCATCTCTGATGTTATTTATTTGTGAGCTGAAGTGCTCATAGTTTGTTGCTGTAGCATTATATCTTGTCCAGACTTTGACGGCAAGAGTGAATTATTTCCTTAATTGTGATTTCATGTTGGTTGTTATAAATCCCATTGATGTTATTTTCATATGTCTCATTATAAATCACATTGATGGTATTTTCATGGTCTCATTATAAATCACATTGATGGTATAATAATGTTACTTTGTGTTGTAAAATATTTTAAATTGAGAATGTTTATGGCTTGCAGTAAAATGTATCAAATAGGCAGACTAGTGATATGATTGTAGTTAATGTAATTATTTGTGTTTGGTGTTAGTAGAGTGAGCGGATAATATACATTTTCTTAGTCAATTTGTACAGCGGTTATACTTAAAAGAAATATTGCTTCAGTATCAATGCCTTAGTCAGTTGTGATTTGTGTAGCAACACATTATTCATAACCATATATCTAAATATTGGAGTATCTAGTTCTGGTCCAGTCTGATTTGTTTGGGTGACATGTGGGGGATAACAAACATTTTGTTTTTGCCCTCGTTTTTGGGCTGTGATATAGCTAACCCAAAAAAAAAAAAATTGGTGAATGAAAGGAAGATAATGGATGTGGCCATGGTGTTCCATTAATGAACATTTCCTGTCTGTCAGATGCTTAAATTATGAAGACATTATATTTAAACACTCATGTATTTGTCAGATTCAGAGAAAATGATACCATGTTCTTACCCCTTAAGAATATCTGCTATATTTTTTCTTTCCCTTTCTAAGCCACCTAAAAAGACACTTTTTCATGCCTTTTGAGCATCAGGCCTATATTGCTAAACCTGTATTTTTCAGAAAAATGATACCACGTTCTTACCCATTAACTCTTTGAGTCCCAGGGGGTTTAGCACCACAAGCCCAGGGGGGTAGTAAAGAGAGTCATAAAATCAGCACATCTTGCGTTCATTGGGCTTCTAGGTAGGAACCTATGAACATATGATGCATTTCTTAGGACTCAAAGAGTTAAGAATATTTGCTATATTTTTTTCTTTTCTTTTCTGAGCCACCTAAAAAGACACTTTTTCATGCCTTTTGAGCATCAGGCATATAGTGCCAGACCTGTATTTTTAAGAAACATACCTCACTTGAATATATTTGATATATTTCTCATGTTTACTGCATATCATATTACACAAGGTAAGCTAATTCTATTCTTTTTATACATTCACTTTATATGAGGCACATGTCTGGATGCAAGATAGAAACAGTGTTTAACCCTATAACCCTGCGAATACTTTAAAAAAAAATTTGTCACAAACCTGTGGGAATTTCCTGAAAAATCCTTCAAAAAATAAACATCTTACAAGAATCATTAATAAATTTTTAAAAAATATTTTTATTTACCTACATTTTAAAATGTTTTATGTGTGGAAATTTATAAAGATATATAAAAGGGGTAATCAGTCAACATGGACAGAATGATGGAATTAAATGGAAAATATTTCTCGGGGGCCTAAAAAAAAAAATTTATTGGGTGATCCATGCCATGACCTGTGAACTGTATCACTGAGGCTAATGGAAAAATTTGACATCAGCTTGGCTTTTAAAAAACCCATTTGGTTGATGAGACCCCTCCCCCCCCCACCCCGGCCACACATACTATTTTTAGTTATTATAGCTTTATTAATATCCTGGCTTTTTAAGCATTGCGAGTCGCCAATAAGAACAGCAGAATTTGACTACACATTTTGAGAACAGGTCACTGCAGGCAGGTCAATATATTGCCATTTGCTCGACCGAGTCGCAACTGGAAGTGACTAGATTTAGCCTTCTTGGGGTGAAAAGGTTAAGCAAGTGTTTTGTCAATCAGCAGAGATTTGCTAAAACACTGCAGCAAGTATTTGATTGTTGAAATGTACTGAAGTAGTATATTACATTTTGCGTGTGCCTCACAGAGGTTTTTAAACTTTGCGTTAATAGTAAGCAAGAGAAAATCAGGTTATCTGGTTAATTTGGTACCTCTACGACGTTTTACAAAGTCAGAATGCTGGCGTGGACATTTTGCGGTGTCTTACCACTTACCAGCTAGTCTGGTGGGTTCAAATCTCCTTTTAGGTTAGATTTTTTGGGGGTGAATATTTTTTTATTTTATTTGAGGGGGCAGGCAACACCGACCATGTCAGACATTGCCCTATATTGTGT